TTTTATTTTTTCCCTAAAGTATAGATTTTTTTAAAAAATAAATCCTTGCTTGTGGATTTATGTACCATAACATATGTTATCTTTCCCTGCTAAGGAAAGCCTGGGCTCTCCCAAACATTGGTTCCAGGTTGCATTTCCTCTTCCTAGGATTAATAAAAACTTATCGGAAATATGTTAGCAAAATAAATCACATTTCACAGCCAAAATATATGTGAATCTTCTTGCCCCTTCTTCTTATTCAACCTTGAAAGCTTGATTGGGGTTTACAATGGGCTGGGACTTGCACCTTGGGCCAACAATCCATTCAGAAAATCCGAATTAATTATTCCCTTTAAAAAAAAAATTTTTAAAAATCGTGCATCTATTTTTTGTTTTATACCCCCCAAAAAATGGGGCTCCGGGAAAACCCACGGGGTGTATTAAACAATCACACAAAGTTTTTTGGGGAAAAACTTAATGACGACACCTCAATGGGGCGGGTTTACAATAAAATCACGTAAAAAACTGTGAAAAAATCCTCACTTCAAAAAATGTAAAAACAAAAAAAGAAAAAAAATGAAATTTACTCACTTTGTAATTTTAAAAATAAATGAAAAGTCTATATTTTTTTTTAAAGTTTGGTAATTTTTTGCGGCTTCCGGAAAGGCGTTGCGACCGCCTCGAAACCCAACGTACCGCGATCAAAAACCCATTGGGGGCTGCGGGGATTTTTATGGGTATAGGACTCCCCCAGGTCGACCCACCCTCAAAGGGGTACCAGGAGGGTGTCCTGGAAGAAAGACGCCAGCGTAATGCGACCACATTCCCCACCGAGTGCTGAGGGTTGAAAAAAATGGGGGCCTCTTCCATATGCCCGATACGCCTAAAGGGTGAAGGGACTTTTCTTTTTTCTTTTTACTTTTTTTTTGCCCACCCCAAAAATGGGGGTCCGCAGTCTGGGCATCAAATATTTTCGGGGGGGTAGATTAAGCGTTAGTTTTGGTTTAAGTTGGGTTAGCTAAACATCCTTTGGCTTGAAGAAATGCACTAAAGCACAGAAAAAAAATGAAAACTCACTCGTTACCACCTTCTAAAAATATTGGACCTAAGCTTATGGCGTCATTTGGGGTCGGCTAAAAAGATAGCACCAAAGGTTTTAATAACAAATTTTAAAGCAGCCAGATAATGTGAGGGTTAAAGGAACAAAGGCAGGGCAGACTAAAGAACACATGGAATGAGAGATAGAGAATGAAGTAAAATGGATCAGTAGAACAAGGATGAGCTGCATAGGATTGGAAAGGATAGTAAGGCTAGCTGGGATCTAAATGCTAAACTGAGAATCAACATCACAGCACTCAGGACACTCCCATAAGTGCTCTGTCCCCATCTTCAGCAGCAATCAAAGAGCTCCAATTCTGATGACACCACAGTAACTGTACTGATTGTATATCTGTCCTCACAATTCCCTTGAGTTTCTTTTGAGCATGGTTCAGATCCTGGTAACCCTCTCCCAGCTCCATTCTCCTCAGATCGTAATGATCTATTTGTAGCTCTGCACTGTTCACTCGTTCCCAAAGGGCCCTCACAATATCCAGCCTGTCATACATCAATTCACCACCATGTGGTGAAGAAACAGCCAGTCTATCTGCCAGCTCGTTTCCTAACACAACGGCATTACCTGGAGAAAATATCCAAAGAACGCTATCTACCCTTTGATTTGGTTGAAGGTCTATGCTCTAGTGGGGTGAGGATAAAGAGCAGAAGATGATTACTGACAGACTATTTGTTTTTTTTTTTCATGTATCAGTTTTTAATCAAGTAGATAAGTCATAACATTTCAAATACAGGATTCAATCAAGTTTATGATAAAGAAAAACAAAGGTCACAGAAAACAAAAACAAACCAAACAAGCACCCACAAAATTATAATGACCCCGAATATAATTATGTGACCCCCAAGAGCATTATTTTTAAAACCGGGAAGAATCAAGTGTCTCATATGTCTCCACATCTTGCTATTTCCAATATTATATATATCAAATTGTTTGCTGAAATATTTCCATGCCACGACAAAAAGATGTCAAGAATCTGTCTGTGCTGTCTTCCTTTATCTCAGTTAAAGATATTTTCAATTGTCACAACATGCTGTATATAGTTTCAACTTCTGACCATACTTGGGAAACTTCTACTTCTTCTGCAAACATCCGGGGAAGTAAATGCATTGTGCTCGTGTACATGACTAAAATATTTGCACCTTCTGGCCAAAACATCCAACTTCTGTAGGCATTTGCTGCCCATGTTAGCCTTCCAGGTTAGTTTCATGAGAGACCGCAGTCTCACTATTGTGTTATCACATTTGTTCTTCTGTACATCCTACCACATGCCCTAAAATTTCATTTTATGTCTCTCTTCGGAAAATACCTTCTATTTATGCAATTACCTTATTTAATGCATAGTTAAATTTTAGTCCTAACAAGACTCAATGTCCAGCACGCAGTCATCTAAATATTTATGTTCTATTTATCTTTTGTTAGTATGGCCACACAGAGTTAACTGTATGTGTCGCGACTCCTCCCCACCAAATATATGGTTGACACATTCTGTTTCTGGGGACAGCTTTTATCGAGTTTGCTCTCTAGACAGTTGCAGTCCCTGCTGACGAGATTCTGTCTTCCCGAGTGGACCGCCCGCGATCAAAACATTGCGGAAAGCAGCGTGGCCGAGGCTGCCAAGACTATCAGTCATTATCCCGCCCGACACAGCACAACCACAATACACGCTGTTCTCCACGAAAAACAACATAATAATATCCTGCGTGGAAATGCGCATAAAATAACAGTCCATGATTATGATACAGAATAATCCGAGAGAATTGACAGCCAGCGAAAATAAACACAGCTGCTGTCCGCCATTTTGAAAACCTTGTTAGTATTATTACGATTATTGTCATTCCTTGGTTGACATTTTGTTTCAACAGCTCTTCATACTCCTACTTTACACATTTTTGTTATAGTTCTTCTGCAATTTAGTGGATAGTGTTTAGGCTTCTTCTTGTTAATTTTTTCATTGATAAGGATTTCTTTTGAAACTTTTGGTTGTATCTGTGTATTTTTCTTGTTTTCTTTCCTCACTGAGCTACCTAGCCATAGAAAGTGTTTAGTGAATTTGTCTCTCTTTTCCTGTTTCCGAGATTATTTGTATATGCAGATAAATAATAGACAAAAACAAACACATATAAAACTGTGCATCATATTTTAATTCTTATGTTCTCTCAGTCTTCTCTTACCAGTTTCCTTAAGAAACAAAAAAGGTAACACTGTAACCCAACATGCATATCACGAAGGACAACTAGTGCATCCCATAAAAAACTGCAGCTGTAAAATCCAAGATAGTGATGCAATAGAGAGAATGATTAGTCAACTTTGCACCTCTTGCCACCACCACAAACCATTATTGCCAGTTGCACAATACACACTATCGCCTGGAAAGATGTAAGGGTGCCATCTACAACACAACCCAAGCAGCACAGCATACTTTGTTGTCCTAACAGCCATAAACTGCTATCAAAGATGGAGGTCATAAACCACTCATTTGCATGTGGAAGACAAGAGAAAACTACTATATTATCTTCCTACGACAACATTTATGTGCAGGTCATAAATCTGGAAAGTAGTAATATGATTATAAAAACTTCTTGCCAGTGTTTGGACTAAACTAACTCCACAATAATGTTACTTCGGCCCCTAAATTCTGTGCAGATTGTTATGCATGCATTTCCTTACCTTTGAACTAAGAGAACAGTGGCAATCATGAACAGCAGGTTAGACACATTTGAGACAATGGACAGGTAACTCTCAAACTCCTGCTGCATGGTTGTTATAGACTCATCTCCAGCAACAGCATCAACAGGAAGACTCGTGTTACGAAATTTGTAGTCAAAGTACTAGAATATGAGGACAAATTGAATAAACACTTCATTAAGTATGCTTTAAAATTGAAGTATAACACAACGTATTGGGGCAAAGTCTCACAATAGTCAGTGTAACCAGAGCGGGTTATGGTGTACTGTCTCATCAAGATATGGCTCAGTACATTTGATTTTTACTTTTGCCTTTAACTGCCATTGACTATCCCTCTAAAATACAAAATTGTGTTGTGTTTCTTTCTGTAATTCACAGTGTTTGACCTGTCCAACACAGAAGACATTACCAACAGCTAGGGTGGCAAAGTGGTCAAGATATTTGACTAGCGCTCTGAAGGTCATGGGTTCATTTCACAGCCCCATCATCAGTTCACAGGTGCAATTTTTTGGGAGATCCTCAGGGATTTTCACTGGAATTATGGATTTTGTGCTTTGTGCAACACTCTTGATTGGTAGTTAGCCATTCTGCAAAGAGAGATCAAGCTACAAGAGATTCAACCCAGTGCGATGAAGTTGATCCTCTAGATTTTAACTTTACTTTAAACAGTCAGCATAGCTCTTGAGAATCACTGGAACACTCTCCCCCCGAGTGGGTTCCAGGGCCCCCATTGTGGGGACAAAAATGGAATAAACTAACTGCCCCCTTACAAGCATGTCATAAAAGTCGACAAATTAGGGGTCCTTCCTTCCAACAGTCTGTATACAAATAAACCAATCTGTAAAATTGACGTGCTTGCAAAACTCAAGTTCTGGAACAAGACTAAAGTCCAGACTTCGACGAACAACCAGAGCTTTCCGCCAGAGTTTACAGCCAGAAGAAACAGAGGAAGAAAAAAGAAGAAGACAAGGTAAAGGAGGAGGAGGAAAAGGAAGAAGGAGGAGGAGGAGATGGAGAAGAAGAAGAATAATAACATAAACAAGATGGCGCCGATGAAGATAAGGAAGAGGATGAGGAAGAAGAAGAGAAAAAAAAAGAGGGGAAAGAGGAGGAGGAAGACAAGAAGAAGAATCAGCTTAGGCGATACCTGCATGGTACTGATAGCATTAAGTAATAAACTTCACAACTATGTTCTAATACCCAGGAAAATCAACTAACCTTCTTAGCTGTAATGAAAAAATTCCATGGTAAAAGTGATGCTAGGCCAAGAAATCCAAATATCAAGAACACTCCATAACGTCTGGAAATGGTCAAACAAGGCATAAACTTGAAGACTTAATTCACACTCCATAATCTAAAGATATCTTCTAAACTTACACACACATACTAAAGACATTTTTTCGTTCATCCGAGTGATGTAATTGCGTTATGCCTGTTTACAGCCCAGCAGCGATACTTGCGCCATTGGGCTAACACATCCACCTTCATAAGGCATGTGTTCACCAAGTCGGCCTTCTCACAAAGTTTCCCTAACACATCCACCTTCATGAGGCATGTGTTCACCAAGTCGGCCTTCTGAGAAACTTTCCCCAACACATTCATGAGGCATGTGTTCACCAAGTCAGCCTTCTCAGAAAGTTTCCCCAACACATCCACCTTTATGAGGCATGTGTTCACCAAGTGTTCCAGAAAAGTTTTACATGAGGCATGTGATCCAAGTCAGCGATCTCTCTCAGAAATTTCCCCAACACATCCACCTTCATAAGGCATGTGTTCACCAAGTCGGCCTTCTCACAAAGTTTCCCTAACACATCCACCTTCATGAGGCATGTGTTCACCAAGTCAGCCTTCTCAGAAAGTTTCCCCAACACATCCACCTTCATGAGGCATGTGTTCACCAAGTCAGCCGTTCTCAGAAAGTTTCCCCAACACATCCACCTTCATGAGGCATGTGTTCACCAAGTCAGCCTTCTCAGAAAGTTTCCCCAACACATCCACCTTCATGAGGCATGTGTTCACCAAGTCAGCCTTCTCAGAAAGTTTCCCCACCACAATCCACCTTCATGAGGCATGTGTTCACCAAGTCAGCCTTCTCAGAAAGTTCCCCAGACACATCCACCTTCATGAGGCATGTGTGTTCACCAAGTCGTCAGGCATGTGTTTCCTCTCCGAGGAGGCTTTCATGAATGAAGAGCCAGTACTCTGGTATTGGGATCACCAAAAGAATCATCACAAAATGTTATCAATTTTAAAGGTTAAATATATAGAGGAGAAAACATGGGTTGCATATTCTTACAATGCATGCCGTCAATGTCAAACATGGACATTGTCTTCAGAGGACAAAAGGAAAACAGCAACGACAGAAATGAAATGTTTACATGCTATGCTCACCCCCGTGTGGGTTCCAGGGCCCCATTGTAGGGGAAAACAAGAATAGACCCGCTGCCTCCCCAAAAGCATGTCGTAAGAGTCGACTAATTGGGGAGCTTCCTTTAAAGTCGGAGTGCATCTGCCGGAGAGGCAAGGAACCAACGGTCTGTATTCAAGAGAATGAGATCTGTAAAACTGATGTACACGCAACACTTAGGTTCTGGAGCAGGACTGCAGTTCAGTAGTGGACGAGCAACCAGAACTTTCCGCCAGAGTGTACAGCTGGTGAACGAGAAGAAGACGAAGAAGAAGAAGCTATGCTGTAACGAGGAAAGATCGACTTTGGAACGATGATATCAGGAGGAGACTGCACAGAACCAATACTGAACTTCATAGGTAGACAATAAATCAAATGGTTTGGCCATGTAACAAGACTGGCATCATACAGGGCACGACAGAGAGCAAAGTTTTTTTTACAGATGCAATGGTAACAGACCCAGAGGTCGACCACGCAGACGATGGACTGCAGAAATATCGGAAACACTGAAAATTACTTAATATAAAGTGAACAGAAGGGCCCAATCTACAGATCTCTTCCTGCCCTGACGTCGCAAGGCATTCCTGGAGTAGAAAAAAAAAGAAGAAGAAGCATTGTAAACTATTACTTTTTTTAATGGTGCTGTGCAGTTTTGGCTGATATAGATCAGTTTCATTTTCATGCCAGGCTATAAAAGGAAATAAACAAGCTGACAGGCTCGCAGGGATGGCTATTGTAAAGAGCGGACAAACACTAGGACAGGCTGATATAATGAATGCTCTATGAGATGTAAGAGGCTTGTTAGAACCAAGTGATGACTGTGAACCTGCAGCCATGACCAGACTGCGAGAACCCCCCCCCCCCCCCCCTCCCCGTGTGGGTTCCGGGGCCCTATTATAGGGAAAACAAGAATAGACCAACTGCCTACCCAAAAGCCTGTCATAAGAGTCGACTAACTGGGAGCTTCCTTTGAAGTCGGAGCGGCAAGGAACCAACATACTGTAGACAAATGTGTCAGATCTGTCAAATGGATGCACACGCAACACTCAGGTTCTAGAACAGGACTGCAGTCCAGAAGTGGACAGACAACCAGAACTTTCCCCCAGAGTTTACAGCTGGTGAATGCAAAGAAGAAAGAAGAAGAAGTAGTCTTGTTCCAGAACCTAAGTTTTACATGAACATCCATTTTACAGCTATAGTTTATCTGTATGCAGACTGTTGGTCCTCGCTTCTCAGGCAAATGCACACTAACTTCGAAAGAAATATCCCTCATTAGTCGACTCTTATGCTTGTTAGGGGGCAGTGAGTTTATCCATTTTTCCCACAATGAGGCGCTGAACCAACAAGAGGCGCTGAACCAATTAGGGGCGCTGAACCAACAAGGGGCGCTGAACCAACAAGGGGCGCTGAACCAATAAGGGGCGCTGAACCAACAAGGGGAGCTTCCACGTTCAAACACAAACAGTTACAAACAGAAGTATCTTACTTATCTGGAGGCTGTCCGGCAGCGGATGGCGACCGAAGCAAAGGGGAATTTTCTTGACCATGCCTTGGTGAACCATCTTCTGGAAGTCTTTCGTAAGCCATCATTTCAAATGGGGTGTCTATGTCTTCAGCGTTATCCAACAGATGTTGTAAGTCATCATTACCTACTGGATTGCTGAAACATCATTTACATTTCAGTATGAAATAATCAAAACTAACACTTGAAACAAACTAAATGTGACAGCTATAAATTATCACAAACAAACAAAAGTACACCGTGTAGAAAAATCATGGAGCAAAATATTCAGAGAGATAAACGTTTATCATTCTTATATTCTCATTCTTATGAAAGTGAATCAAAACAACTAAGCTGAAAAAGTCATAACTTCTGACACAAGATGCTTTGCAGAGATTAGACAAGAATCCAGACAGAGTCTACAGCTGGTTATATTAAGTAGAAGTAGAATGTCAGTGACCAGAATTCAGAGTTTAAACAAAGTGAACTTTAAGTAGATGTAGCAGTAAGTTAATGACCAGAATCCAGAGTTTACAGCTGGTGAACATTAAGTAGAAGAAGAAGGACAGTGACCAAAATCCAGAGTTAACAGCTGGTAAATGTTAAGAAGGAGTAGAAGAAGGTTAATGACCAGAATCCAGAATGCTAAGTAGAAGAAGAAGGTCAGTGACCAGTCTCCTTTTTTTATTGATTTTCCTTTCCAGAAAATTCTGGATATAATCTAGTACCCTCTTCTTCTTCCTGTTCACTGGCTGTAAACTCTAGCAGAATGTTCTAGTTGTTAATCCACTACTGGACTATGGTCTTGTTCCAGAATTTGAGTTTTTTGTGCACATCCATTTTACAGATCTGCTGACTGTTGGTTTCCATCTCTCAGGCAGATGCGACCACTGTCTCAGCAGGCGAGTGCACTACACTCTATGCCACCATAGCTAGGCTGAAATAACCTCATAACATAGCTGTTTCATCAGTCAATAGTTCAGTGAAAATTGAATGGAAAGGGAAGCTACTAAATACTGGGTATATTTCACAATCAATGGTATTCCTGACACATGCAAAAGCAGTACTTTAGGTACTCCAGTGTAGAAAATTACAAGGCATATGGAGACTACAATCTGAGGTGAAAGGTAGTTATGCAATGGATACCATCCCACTGTGGAGTTCTCAGAAATGACAAAGCTGATAGACTAGCTAAATAGCAGTCTCTTATCTACAGAAGAGAATAATCAAATTAATCAGAAAGCCACCAAAACTGGCACAAGACGATTACCATATTATGGACAGACCAGAGCAAGTCATTATCCTACGCCTTATAACAGGGCACAATCGACTTCATAGGCATATGTATATAAAGTTCCAGATCTGCCTGTGGAATGGCACCTGAGACAATAGATCACATCCTCCAAGACTGTCTCAAATACAACATTTCCAGAAAACATTTCTGGCCAAGACAGACATTGGTGGAAGCCAAACTTTACAGACCGCTAAGTTAATTACAAAAGACAGTGAAGTTCATACTAGAGACAGCACTGCAGACATAGATAATTTATTTCAAGTCATGGAAAGAAGAAGAAGAAGAATGGGAAGGAAAGATGTGAGAAAGTGAACAGGGAGCACAACATAGTTATGCTAGAGCCTAAAATATTAAGTTAAGGTTAGAGGATCGACTTCACTGCGCTGGATTTTCTATGGCTCAGTCTCTCCACAAAATGGCTAACCACTTGCCAACAGCATGGCTCAAGGCATGAACACTGTAGCTCTAGCACCAATTCCCTGGGGTTTCCCTAAGAATTTCCCTCATAAACCTAATTCCATAGCCATGAAATGAACCCATCTGAGCGTGAGGTCAATGGCTAGACCACCTCGTCCTAGAGACCACTAGAAGAATAGATGACGGTCAAACACTTCACACCACACTTTAGGCTATTTTTCTTTTTCTTCTGCATTCAGAGAAAGTTGTTTTTCTGACATTTATGGGTTTTTGATGCCATGAAGTCTTTTAGCAGTGGCCACTATGCTTATATAGCTGATTGTAACTGTACAGTGTGTACACAGGGTGTCTATGACTATATCACAATTTTTTTTTAGATATTAGGGTGTATTTTTTTTAGATGTGGCGTCATTGTTAAGTCATAATAATCTCATATGTTGTCACTTTGCCATTAAGTCAACAAGATCACATTTATAATGGTCAAATGGAAGAGAATCAGTTAATTCGTTTAAAACATTTGTATTTAGTAACTAATTCCCTTACTTTTTCTTCTCTTTCTTCTCTTCCTCTAGTTTTTTTTTTTTAGGGTAGAGTTTCCGAAAATTATAAAGATGCATTTCTTTGCAATGAAATTGTTAAATCTGTCATTTTAACATTTTACAGGGCGAAAGGGTTTAAAGGGAGGTTGGCATGTTAGGTTCTCATCAAGGTGCAGTTCTGTAAGTTCCAGTCAACTTTGCCTAAGAACTGGTGCCAGGAAATATCCTGGGAAGTAAAGGCAGCTAGCAGGATACTGACCAATATCACCCACCAAGTGTAGGTTAGTCTATAAAACTATGGGGCTAGCACTATATTCTCAGTCTGCTTCAAAGTGTCCAAATATGTATTATTATTTTCTTTTTTTTTTCTTTTTTTTCTAACAGTTTTGAATATCATAACATGATATCGTTTAACTAGGAATTCCAGTGAAATGTGACTAAAAAGTTTAACGAAATGGGGAAGCAGAAAAACGGGCACAAAATAACACAAATAACGTTTCGGCCGGCAGCCTTTGTCAAACATGAAGTGAACTACACAAAGAGGAGAGTATTCAGATCTCCAAGGGGTGACATGAGAAATGTTTTTAAAAATGTGATGTGGAGTGAATGAAATCAATTAAAATAAACGACGGCTAAAAAATATAGTCATAAAAATAAAAAGTAATATTGTTAATATACAATACTGTTTAGCTTTTCAGTCACATTTCACTGGAATTCCTTGTATTAGCTTGACAGTAGTCACCCCCATATTTTCACCATGTTATCCTTAGCACACTACTAAAACACTGCCTGACAACCATTTGTTGCTTAATCATAAATTCACCTTTTCTATTTCCATAACTTCAAACACCAGGGAATATTCACAATCAACAGCAGCTCTTGCAGTCCTAGACAGCTGTTACTTCAACAACACTTCCTAACTTAAGAGATTATGCACTTGAGAGCAACAAATGTTATAGGTGAAGCAACAAGTGTGAAGTGGTGTGAATTTGGAATTAGGTGTCGATCTGGGAAGAAAGGATATCTGAGAGGAAAAGTATGACAAATGTACAACCTGTGTGCTACTAAAACATTCAGCATATACGCCTTAAGACATCTGCTGCAGGAGACGGAGCATCTATGGGGTATGTCGGGTAGACTATGTTGATTCTTAGATGGGATGCAGATATGCCAACAATACATGATGGTACACATCGACCGGGGTTTGTACTAGTCAAGACATACCTTCAACTCTTTACTGTCATCCTAGAAATAAGTTCCCCTCTTGGGGGGGGGGGGTGTAGTTAGGTCCCATTGTGGGCAAGACAAGAAAAGACCCACTGCCTACCCAAAAAAGCATGTCGCAAGAGTCAACTAATTTGGAGCTTCCTTTAGAGTCGGAGTGCATCTGCCCAAGTAGGCAAGGAACAACAAACTGCACACAAATAAGCCAGTAAAACAGTTGTACATGCAAAACTCAGGCCATGACACAAAGTCCATATGGGCAAACAATCAGGACTTTTTGCCAGAGCTTACAGCTGATGAATGAAGCAGAAGAACAACAACCAGGACCTTCCGCTAGAGCTTACAGCCGGTGAGTGTAGAACAACAACAACCAGGACCTTCTGCCAAAGCTTACAACCGATGAGCGTAGAATAACAACCAGGACCTTCTGCCAGAGCCTACAACCGGTGAGCGTAGAATAACAACCAGGACCTTCTGCCAGAGCCTACAACCGGTGAGCGTAGAAAAACAACCAGGACCTTTTGCCAGAGCTTACAGCTGGTGAATGAAGCAGAAGAACAACAACCAGGACCTTCCGCTAGAGCTTACAGCCGGTGAGTGTAGAACAACAACAACCAGGACCTTCTGCCAAAGCTTACAACCGATGAGCGTAGAATAACAACCAGGACCTTCTGCCAGAGCCTACAACCGGTGAGCGTAGAATAACAACCAGGACCTTCTGCCAGAGCCTACAACCGGTGAGCGTAGAGAAACAACCAGGACCTTTTGCCAGAGCTTACAGCTGGTGAATGAAGCAGAAGAACAACAACCAGGACCTTCCACCAGAACCTACAAACGGTGAGCGTAGAACAACAATAACCAGGACCTTTCACCAGAGCTTACAGCCGGTGAGTGTAGAACAACAACAACCAGAACCTTCCGCCAGGCTTACAGCCGGTGAGCGAAGACGAACAACCAAGACCATCCACGAGAGCTTACAGCCGGTGATCGTAGAACAAAAACAACCAGGACCATCCGCCAGAGCTTACAGCCGGTGATCGTAGAACAAAAACAACCAGGACCATCCGCCAGAGCTTACAGCCGGTGATCATAGAACAAAAAACAACCAGATCCTTCCGCCAGAGCTTACAGCCAGTGAGCGAAGAAGAAGAACAACCAGGACCATCCGCCAGAGCTTACAGCCGGTGAACGAAGAAGAAGAACAACCAGGACCATCCGCCAGAGCTTACAGCTGGTGAACGAAGAAGAAGAACAACCAGGACCATCCGCCAGAGCTTACAGCCGGTGAGCGAAGAAGAAGAACAACCAGGACCATCCGCCAGAGCTTACAGCCGGTGAGCGAAGAAGAACAACCAAGACCATCCGCGAGAGCTTACAGCCGGTGATCGTAGAACAAAAACAACCAGGACCATCCGCCAGAGCTTACAGCCGGTGATCGTAGAACAAAAACAACCAGAACCTTCCGCCAGAGCTTACAGCCGGTGAGCGAAGAAGAAGAACAACCAGGACCATCCGCCAGAGCTTACAGCCGGTGAACGAAGAAGAAGAACAACCAGGACCATCCGCCAGAGCTTACAGCTGGTGAACGAAGAAGAAGAACAACCAGGACCATCCG